AATGCATAATGCAGAATACTATCGCAATCCATATATATATATATATAGTCATACAGAAACATTGCTGCTGCCTCATCTCCTGAGTCGCTTGGGTTTTTTGTATGAGAGGGAGCCTTGCTGTCTATGAGCAGCGAACACGCCGGGGATGTATCGAAGAGTAGCCTTGCTTCCCCAATATGTACGGGGCCTTCATAAGTAGACTAGGGTTTTGGGGTATATCATACTATATCTATGATAAGGAACGTAATTATTGAGGCGCCTATACTACATACTGCTTGCCTTGCGAGTTTCGCCCCAAAGGCTGAGCCTATGTGCGATGATTTGTTTGCGTGTTCATCCGCATTCAATACACGCGAAATGCAGATGCCAGTCCTCGTTTGAGTTGCCTAGCTCATCTATTTCAGCATATATATATATATATACACGTACATACACATAGTTTTGCCTCTACATGTGCTGGCAGCGTGCGACAAACACCTGGAGAAGTTTCAACCGTGGGCGCCGTGCTCCAGAAGTCAGGTTGGGATACTTGCCACCAGTCCTGTCCACGATGTCAACGACCTCCAAGATTGGCATTGCCAGGATGTATCTACGCCGGCGTCGTTGCAGTGGTAGCGGTGGTGGCGGTAGTAGTAGTAGTAGTCGTCGTCGTCGTGGTGGTGGTAGTACTAGTAGTAGTAGAAGTCGTAGTAGGAGCAGGAGCAGAGCAACAGCAGCACGAGCGGTAGTCGCAGTAGCAGCAGTGGTGGTGGTGGTGGTGGTAGTAGTAGTAGTAGTAGTAGTAGTAGTAGTATCAGTATCAGCAGCAGCAGTAGCAGTCGTCGTGGGCGTCTTCGTCGTAGTGTTCCTGTACAAGTACATCGCATGCCAAAATGACAAACATCAATAATCAAACTGTTGCGAATTCTTTTGCACAGACTGCTGATCTGCCTGATCAAGAACAGTGGAGCTGCATCCCACCACGCAGTTGCTAGTGGCACTCCTTAGCCGAAACAGAGTCCAGAATTTTCCTGAGTTGAAGATTCAACAAGAAGCACAAAAGACTGTCTTGCTGAGCTTCCGGGTGGTACAAGACAGATTTCTGCAGAACACCATTTTGGGATGTATTCGAGCTCACTTTCTGGCCTCTATAGAGACCTGAACGCACATGGCAGCTCTTTGCTTTTTCAGGAATCTTGTGCTATCCGACTCTACGAGAGCCTGCGGCTGTGAACTCTGAGTCAGATCGTCGTGGTAAAGGAAGGAAAGTCTTGTGCAGCGGTCACATAGATTTTTCTGCAGTCTGTGGTGACAGCACAATGGAATGCTGGGCTGCCGGCACGACGCCAGAACCTCTTTTCGATGGAGGAGACACGGCTGTTGCAGGCTCAATGGTTCGAGGGGGCTTCGCGAGCTCGGCGATACTGGATCTAGGGCTGGAGCTGTGGAATTCAGGCTGCAGGGATCTTCAGAGTTTGAGTGGTGGTCAGTCCGGCTGGACTGTGCTAGCTGCAGTTCCATCACAGCCTGAAAAAAAATCAATGCATCATCCTAGGGAGTCTGCCAGATCAAGGCAGAATGGCAGAGATGGCTTGTTGCCGCCCACTACAAGAGTCAGGAGTCATGTCCATCCAGTCGAAGGCTGCTCAACGATGGATTCATTCTGGGTCAACTGCTCAGCAGAGCTCCCTGAACCCTAGCTGAGCTCCAGACTGCAAGAGACCTCGGCACACGGCACACGTGCAGGACCCGTTTGACGAGGCTTGTCGCTGGCGGCCGGTCTTGCCGCGATTTATGATAGGTTGGGGCGGATGACCAACGCTCGAGCGAAGTAGTGTCATGAGTTGTAAAACTGTAGCAAAAGACCTGAGTAAATATGGGTAGCCATGGCATATCTGAACATGGACTACAACAAGAATCGACTCCTTGAGATTCAAACGCAACATATCCGAACTCCGGAGCAAACTCTCTGAGAATTCCGGGCTTCCAGCCGTCAACGTCCCCCCGTGCTCCGGACCCAGTTCCTGATCCGGGTCTTGTCATGCTGTCATATCTCATCTTTCGACTGAAGGTTTGGAAAGTCAGGTACAATATGGGGCTCTTAATTGAAAACGCTAGCAATACTGGTCCCCCATAAACTGTCTGATAATAGATATGTGTATATATATATATATACATATCAGTTCCCTACTACAGTTGCGTCTGTATTTAACATCGAGACTCCGGGTTCTAACGGCCTGGGCCGGAGGGGTACACGTTGCGATGCAGTGTTCCAGGGTTTCGCTTCAGAAATGCATTCGACTTTTCGGAGTCAAGACGACTCCTGTCGTCCTTCTGCCCAAAACTCGCTCTGAGGTTTTCGTCCTCTGGTGCTCCAAGTTGAAGATTTCCCAATTAAATAATATAATAATAATAATAAAATAATTTCTACTTTCTGAGCAGTGCATGGGTGGCTTCTACGTTCAATCCTGGAAACGGCTAGACATGTGCGGCAAAGGTGCAGAGCACTGCTGCGTCTCGTTGCCACCCTCTGCAGTGCGGTTCAACGGGCTCACCTGCAACGCTCGTCACACTCGGCATGTTAACCTGAAATCATCTATAAACCAGAAAGATTAACCTATAACATGTAGTCTGCAGTCTCTTGGCTTCCAGAGCGATGCGAACGTAGGACCCCGCGAAGGCCAAGCCTTGACGGAACTCCTGGGCACACTTTTAAGCCTGAAGCGGCTTACTGCGGGGCCTTAACAATTAGAATAGGTTTTGGGGTAAATTATGCTATAACTACAACAAACAGCCCCCAAAATACTATTGATAACTCTTTTAGGCCCCTACATTGGGGCCCAATGTTGCTAAGATCCCTGTTGCCCTAACCCTAACACTGCAACATCCCGAAAGCCCAAAGCCCAAAATCCCGAAGACCAAGCACAGGTGATGTCTCTTGGAGCGCGCCGTGTAGTTGGTCGATCCGAGAGCCAGCTCGGCCGTGTAGGATGTGAGACCTCTGGTTTAGGGCCCCAAGGTTGGGAACCGATGGATGTGGAAAAGCATGCAAAAGCCATACATAGCATGGCTGCATGTAGAGGTCATGTCTGCATCATTCGTGCTTGCAGCAGGTGCTCTTTCAAGAAGTTTGTAGATTAGACTTTCGGCATGAGGGCACTATATGTAAGGGCAGGGAGGTTGGAGGTTGATACAGCATTGGCCGTGAAGCATGTCAGAACTGACATCTGCATGTCTTTGGCAACCTGCACCGCAATCTCTGCACATTCACTTGGGGCGCAGGTGCTGCCGCCTTGCGAGTACCTTCCGACTCCTCTGCCAGGTACCCGCAGGCTGAGCAGCTGGCATGCAGGGACACAAGCAGACGGGTCGGCGGTGAGGCCGCCGCGGATGCAAGTCACCTAAGAAAGTAAGTCAGGGGCTTTCGTCACCGAGTTAGGTGCAGAGCTTCTAGCGGCAAGTGCTGTCATGCTCAGGTGAACACAGTGATGATGCCGTCGTAGGCATTGTTGGCCTCACCGAAGCATGAGCTCAGGACGAGTATCAGTGGTATAACCTCTCTGGAGGCGAAGACGGGGTGCAATTCCAGCTTTCCGGCAAGTTTAGAGCACATTTGGATTTCGCCACCTTTTGAGAATCCGACGGACCGAGAACTCCAGGCTGCTGAATCCCCGAGCTAGGGCCCGGACAGCCGTACAGGACTCAATGATGGTCGCAGCATGGGGCATCTGCCGATGGGACTCAAGGAATGCTCTTCGGGAGGTCACATCTTCTTGCAATCGCGCTATGTAAAGCTTCCACACCTGTACTCTACTGGGAGGAGTACGGAATGCATCCCAAGCTCTAGAATTTTCCGCGTCCCTGCATGAAGGTTGCCTCGGCTGCGAGCTCCTTGCCCAAAGATTCTCCAGCAACAGACAGCTGATAGGCCAGCTCCTTCATGAGTTTGGGTCGCTCAAACCGCTACGATGAACTGCCTCTGCAAATCCGTGACGTGATGGACTTCAGGGATGATGCGGCAGGCAAACAACTCAAAAATGACAACACCCTGGATGCTGAACGCCACATTGGGTTTTAAAGCTCTTTGCTGTGGGTTCATACAGATGCTGTAATCCCCGAAACTTCAAACCCTACATGTAAAGGGGCCTCTTCTTGTCAGAGAAAGCTTCCCACGGCGGGGCTCCTCCTCGCAGGGCTTTTCCGTACAGGCCTCTGAGCTCTGGGTCGCTGTGCCATCGGAGCATCGGATGACCTGCAGAGCTTCTCTGTGTCGGCTTCAAAGGCTAGCTAGGTAGATAAGGTATGATTATCGGTATATGACAGATCGACAGAGTCAAGTATGCCTTTTGTGCCGCAGCTACTTTGTTTCAGGTAGAAGAGCTGGAGCCAAACCTCCCGATTTGCAGCTCCCGGCTAGACGAGTTAACAAAGGCCTGGAGGTCCTAGGAGGCCTTGAAAGACAGCAGGAACCTTGCCTCCCGCACGGAACTGCGACACACATAGAGAAAGACAGGGAGAAAGAGCGAGAGAGGGAGAGAGTGAAAAAAAGATAGAGAGGGAGAGAGAGAGAGAGAGAGAAAGATAGAGAGAGTGGAGAAGCAAAACCACATCTGCCCGTTTGTACAAACCCCTCGTACATCCAGGCCTTTAAATGCGCCTGTGGACAGGCATGCATAAGGCACGCACACGCACACGCGCACGCACACACACACACACACACAAACACAAACAAACAAACAAACAAACAAACAAACAAACAAACAAACACACACACACACACTCACAAACAAACACACACACACACTCACAAACAAACAAACAAACACACACACACAAACAAACACACACAAACAAACACACACACACACACAACACACACAGAGAGAGACCATACACCATTCCTGCCACTCGGGTGGTTGGTGTACTGAAGGAAGATTCCACAGATACGTGCGCATTCACATGCACACATAAAGCATACATAAAGCAGTAGAGCTGTAGAAAGCCCCTCTGCCGCAACAGGCCTAGCCCTGCGAGCAGCTTGGAGTCGTCGTGAAGTGTCCTCTCTGAATCATTGTTGACATCACACTCACCAGTAAGCGCCGCTCTACGTGACTCTGTCTCATATGCCCGCATGGCCGCACGAAGTGGCCCCTCAGCGCCCCGCTTGGCAAAGAGATCGCGACCTTTACCACCTGCCGATAAGTGCAGTGGCACATGCATCCACCTTCAACCCTGAACCCAAGAATCAACACAGCAAATGACCAACAAAGCCTACATCTTCCGTCTTTCATCGTTGGTTTCCAGAGCTGTTGCGGGGAAAGGCTTTGCTAAGGGATCAAGCTCGACTCCTGCACACGCCGGCTTCCTGTGTCGGGATGTTCCAGACATTGTGCAGCTTAAAGGTTTTAAAGTCCCTACAGTATCAGTGAAGGTGCTGCGCTTGACTCGCCGATTGACCGTGCAGGGATGCACATCAGCCACAAGTGTTTGCAGAAACGATTAACGATTAACGACAAACACATGCAGAAGACTCTGCACCGCTCAAAGAAAAATACCTTATCTCGTGACGAACGACTGCGAAAGGCCGCACCCGCTTCCCAAGAGTGAGCTCTGATGTCTGCTGGGCAATCGTTAAAAAGCAACCCACAGAGATCCTTGTGACCACACTCTCTGCTACAGCCAGAGCCGCTAGCGCCTTCAACCCTAGACCGCAGGACCAAAAGTGACATAAGCCAACGACTGCACAGCACGCAATGCCGTCATGCTGTGGTACACGTAAGAAGCAATCGCATCCCCGCCTCAACACCCTGATGGTTATCTAGCAGCTAGCATCACTGCAACCCTAGTGCATCTGTCGGCTGTGTGTATAGTGCTCGGTCGGCATTTGTCATGCGTTCCATCAGTTTTCTGAGTGGTGCTACAACCCAGTGATCTCTGGACAAAGAAAATGTGCGCAGAAGCTATTGCATCGTACTGTAGCCGTTCCTACAGGTTTCGGAGGTGGTGAGGGTCAACCATGGATCCTGCCTGGGTAGACCTCGTCGGCAGCTTGGCCACCAGGCAGCGTCACCTTGTGGCAATAATGGCAAAGGAAGCATCCAATGAATTCCTTTGCAGGCTTAGCACAACTGCAAGTCATGTTTCAGCAGGGCGGGCTCTTCTCTTTGACTACTGGTGCACACCGCAGCAACACTGCTGAGGTACATCCAGACACAACAACAGATTCGAGGGCGGCTGTTTGTCCGATTGACCGCTCAGCTTCGGAAGCCCAAACCCCGCAGTTGAGATGCGAGCTTGAGCAATGACACAGAAGAGCGCGCATGGGAGTAAAAGCCGAGCAGCTTGCTCCAAGTATAATCCGTGCGAAAAGTTCTTCTTGAAGTTGCGATCCTTCCAGACCTGGACATCTTTCGACCACTTCAGAATTCAGAACAACCTAGGACAGCCTCCCACAGTGGCAGCAGATACCACACTCGCATATCGCAGGCTAGTCTGACTTATTGTCACTGATCTGTTGTTCGCCGCTCCATAATTCCAGTCTGACGTCTACTGAGCCCAATGCTTCGAAATCCTGACACATGGCGCTCTTGATGTCCGACAGAACGATCATGAACTTATACTTTTTTCGGCTTGTCCTCTGGCCCACTTGTTCAGCTACCATATCTCGATGTACTTGCCACATGAACGGCTACCTTCATCCTAGAATGAGCGGGTCTCACGGCTAGGAGCCTCAGGTTCAAGGAAGGCAGCCGTCTCTTCTGCTGCTCTGTGGCTTATATTGGATGTTCATGCATCTGAGACTCCAAAACCCCTTAATTACGGAATGTACCTTAATGTATAAGGGGAACCCAAATACGATTTCGGTGCTGCCACGCCTGTTCCTCGTGGGAGGCCAACCGATTGTAGTAGGCCCAGTTGCCCTTCAAGTCAAAGAGCTTCTGCCAGGGCTCCTCCTCTACGCCTCGGCTCTGAGCGCTTGCATCTGAAGCCTCCGAGCTTCTCCTTGTATCAGGCAAATGCCAAACCCTGCAGACGAAGCCGGGTCGGCAGGCAGCCGCGAAAAATGGGCCGAAGCCTTGCAACTCGCACGGCCCAAAACTTCAAGCTTGCAGGCAAGAGTCCTCGCAATCTCATGTTAAGCGCGACTTGCAGATAATGCTGGGTTCCATCCACCTTGTTCAAGACATCTGCTGTAGGTTGCTTGCATGAGGGACCACAAGCTTTCTTAGATGGGCCGAACTGCAGCGGTCTCTTGCGAAAACAAGCTGGCCCACTCCTGATTCTCTTCTTGTCTAGCTAGGACCGGAGACTATAATGTTTCCTATTCTCGCCCGTGTCTTTGTGCTCTGTGTAGGCGAACGTGGCAATGCTGCCGAGGAGCATTAAACACCAGGCTTCGGCATGTTGGCACAAGAAATGTGTCGCGCCTGGCATCCAGGCTGCAGCACCGGTACCGTTGTGAAACGTATGCCCGCAAATTCCCACGGCCAAGTACTGAGTGAGGAGTTGTATCGCAATTTCACACATGCTGCAGCACATGTTGCACATTTCGGAAGATAAGGGCAGGAAGGGGGCAGTCGTCGGCAGCGTAGCTTGCCTTGAGCCGCGAAGTTTCTGCAGCAAACGTCCGAGCTGCGTGTGCTCTGTCCTCAGAAGCCAAGGCCAAGCCTTACCAACGGAATGAGAACATGCTCAGCGCGTAGTGTAGCTGAGGCGCCTGTCGATGACTTTTACTACCTGGAAATGGGATGGCAGAAACAGCGAAACATCACGAAGGGCATTGACTGAACCACCAAGAACATATTAGCATCCCAAGGTTTCAGGCAGCCACCCTCATTGATAGCTCGGTGCGTCTCTTCAATGCCAACTGTTGTGCTACTTCAGGGTAATGCTGTTCCGTTTGTTACTAAACCAAGCGCTGATAAGGCGCTGATACTAACATATTGGGGTTACTGTTTTGATCGACAGAACCTTACTCGCAAACATGTAGGTTAAAGTAATTCATTTATGTTCCTGGATGTCTTCTTACACTGCTTCATTGAAAGGCTATACACTACTGCTTGTGGCCATGCAGTGGCGACGCACGTGCTTGCCTAGCATTGCGAAATCTTAGAATACGTCTTCAAACTGCCGTACACACATCAGGAATATTTGTCAGCGAGACATCACGCCAAAGAGACAGAAGTTCAACGGAGCCTGAACTACCAGCTCCTGCTTCGAAGCCAAAACAGCTCCCAACCCAGCCTTTGAAACAAACACTATAGCAAAATTACTCAGTCTCGCAGATTCAACAGTGCAAGCGGCAAACACATGTCGCTAAACGGCAGCCCTTTTGCAAGTTCACTGCAGCAAGATGCGAATCTCGCCGACACCAGTGGCTTGGTTCCACTCTTCCTGGGTGGCAATGAGGACCCGTCTTGATACACTACATACAGCTCCAAAACCTCTCGAGTCAGAAACCATTTGGGAAGCCTAGTTTCCCGCCCTCCGCTTCGGATGTACCCGAGCGAACATCGTGGACGATCTCGGCCCTCGGTGCAGTGCTCGTGTAAAGGAGATAAGCAGCACAGCAGCGAGGCTAGAATTTCGGGTTCTGCGATTTCGGTATTCTTCTGTACCACGCGTACATTATCAAATCCAAAGACTATTTACGACCTCTCGAGGCAGATGTGCGCAGAGGTCTCTATTGCCAAACAATGAGGCCCCGATAGTTATGAACCGGCAAACACAGTACATAAAATTCTTCTGGCTAGGCAAGCGTCAAAACATATCAATACACGAAATGGCAACATCAGCCCACTTGTTTGCATCACATTTAGCCGCAGAGGATGTTAAAGCCTCAGGCACTGCAAGATATGGCGACCTGCTTCCGCCTACTTTCCTGATTAACCAAGCCTTGCCGGGTAGCTTGGAAAGTCAGAGTTGAGGCCGAACGTAAGATGACACGTATGTTGCAGCTTCGGCACAGGGATTTGGGACAGCCACGCCTGCCCCAGCTTCCGAATCTCGGGCCGAAGTCCTGCTGAAAATGCTCCGAGCTAGGCTGAAAGGAATCTTCCGAACTGTTCGGAAAAATTAAGTACAAAGTCTTGTCAGCCGTACCTGGTATGCCGAGACACATTGTAGAAGTACACATCTTGCATTTGGTTGTGAAAACACTTGTCGAACCAGGAAACCAGAAGGGGCAATAAGACACAACAGCAACTGTTTGTTTACAGCAGAGCACCGCAAGATATGTACAAGCGGATCAGTATGCCCGGACAGAAAACCTTATAGCTGGATGGTGTGTAGAGCGGAAATTCGTCCGCCAGACCTCGATGCAATACAGTAAGACCGTATCATACGGCATCAGGGCAAGTTTTGCGACATTCCGGGTTAACATGCAGCCAGGATATGCAGCCAGCAATAGCACACCAGCAAAACCAACATGTGCTTTACAGAATCTAGACATGAGAGTGAGACATGGCATCTGCTAGTTTCACACCTACGGGAGCACAAAGTGCTGTGGTTCTACATGCACGCGCGTATGCGTGCCATCCCATGCCACACCTACAAACTGTACTATAACATACCATACCTTACACACGCACACACACACACACACGAAGTACACTACAGTACAGTGCATACCATACATACACCAATACCATACATATACCCTGCATAACAGTACTTACACAGCATGACACGACATAACCTGACAAAGACACAACATGAACACAACATGCATACTACGTTACAGAAACTGCATACATTACATCCAGCATGTACCACCAATGTACCATGCCATGCGCATAATATATAGAACTCTATGCCTGACATACATAAATTGCGTAAACCCCGTTACCTTGCATTGGGCATTACGTCAATGTGAACATTATATACATACATACATGCATACATACATGTATACATACATATATACAGACAGACATACACACATGCATGCATACAAACGTACACACTTGCACAGATACATAGATGCGCACATACTTATATCACATGACACAGCGCAACACAGCATGACATAAGGTACACAACATACATAATGTACAGCTCGTACACGACGTTCACAACATGCATGACATACATAGCCATACATCCATACATAATTACTTTCATACTTACTTACTTCACTTGCATGAATGATACGTACATGCAACATCCTCATCAACACACATACGCCATTACATACATATATAGAGATACATATGTGCACGCATGCATGCATGCATGCATGCATGCATACATACATACATACACACACACACACATTCAGTAGTCGCAAAGCATAAAATAAAGACATGACCTACACAACTAGCATAACTTGCTAAACTACGTACTTACCATACATATAGACCTACCATATGATACCTACCTACCAACCTGGCTGCCTACCTGCCTGCGTACATACGTGTGTTTGCCGTGCGCAACTCCTTCTGCCAACAGTAATCCTGAACGAGTTCGCGTAGGCCTATTCCGAAATATGTATAGCGGGTTTGCATGCAAGATCATGTAAGCACATAGACTAATGCGCACACGAGGTTGTAATTCAAACGCCAACTATCCCGCTGACTCCGATTCTGGACCATTCTGGATCTCTGGACACACAAGTCATCCCATGCCGCCTCTTGCTGGTTACAATCCCAGACTTGCTGTCCTGGCATGCTGAGTTCGGAGCTTCACTGGAAGCTGAGAGCCAGTCTGTCACGCGGGCCGTAGTCACGTTGAAGGTACAAGCCTTCCGTGTAGGGTTCTCGGCTCTGCAATTGAAATCTGCAATCTGCGGCACCGAACACTCACTTCAGTAGTGCGCTGCATTGAGAATTGATTTGACTCTTCAGGCCTCTAGCTGCAACATGAACCAGCACGAGACCTTTGCCTCGTCATCTTGATCCTTGTCCCCCGCATCCTCTTCGTCCTTGGCAAATTGAAGCTTCGCAGGTCAAGCTGCGGTGTGCATGTCTGGGTTTCCAAATGGTGGGTAAGTGGGTAAACCTGACAGACGAACCGCTCAACCCCCGGATCCTGATACACCACCAAGTGCCGAGACGGAGGGGGGTGGATTGTTGCTGCCTCTGTAGTAGCCAAGCTATGCAGGGATTAGCCTCTCAGAGTTTGGCCCCGCAGCCGCTGATAGCAGGTTGAAGCATGCGGCGAAAACAAATACCGTACAAGTCAGCGCAGGCTGTGGCAGCGGCTAGGGACCTGCGGCTCGCTTCGCCATGTCGCGATTTCTAAGGCGAGTAAACGTGACAGTCACAGTAAAAGCACAACTCGCAACCTGCCACTCCTTCACGGCGAGCGTCGGAGTGAATTGCGTCGTCCTTGCAGACCGAGAACAGGAGACCGCTCTTCGAGTATGACCCGGCTGCTGGCTGGCCGAGACGAGATTACTTACCATGGCAAGTTTGGGGTGTTGACATACCGTGCATCTTGCTGTATATACGTCGGGGGCAGCCCCGCGATCGCAGATAGGCGTAGACTTGCAGATAAGCGAACAAAAAATCGGACTAGTAGTATCACAACGGCGGTGCAGATCGGATATGCATCCCACTGGCGTAGAGATCCAGAAAGACCCCGCACCTTGTCATCGTCAATATATTGCAGGACCTCGTTGACGTACTTCTCGAGGTCCTGCTCCGAGCCACTGCACGCACTGTCCCATTCCGCCTCTATTCTTGTGCACTCACTGCTTCCCGGTGAAAGATCCAAATTCCGAACTCCCTGCCAGCATTATGCGCAGCATGCAGGTTGCAAGTCACATCGAAAGATCAACGAGCTGCTCCGATATGCCTGCAATAACAAAGGTGAGTCCTGTGAGTCTTGAAGGGGGCCAGTCGAATTTGACTCGGGTTCCGCAAAAAGCGGGGAGATTAGCATCATCCAAGCAAGCCTGTACTACAAGCGCTGCACTTTTCCAAAAGACTGGTCCTCGTCGCTCAAGTCCATCTCGTCCTGGTTCTCTGCTTCGTCCTCGTCCTCCTCTTCTTCTTCATGTCCCTCAGCATCTTGCCGAAAAGGACTAAAAATTGGGAAGAGTCACTTCTAGATGCGTCATGCTGGCTTCGAGCAATCACTGCCAGACCCTGCTCAAGCCATGGGTATGAATAATCCAGCCTCCCCTTTCCAGAGGTCATCGAGAATGCCGTCTATAAACTCCTGCCGCGGAATAGGCAACCGCTCAAAGTTTATCAGTGGCGTCGCTCTACTCTGCCCGTATACTCTATGTATTCTCGGCAAAAGGCAGGGGCATTCCCATTTCTGGTGCTACCATCACTCGACGACGACGACGACCACCGCCACTAGTACTGATACTACTAGTACCACCGGTACTACTGGTACTACTGGTGCTACTGCTACTACTGCTACTGCTCCTACTACAACAACTGCTGCTGCTGCTCCTGCTACTGCTGCTACTACTACTATTACTACTACTACTACTACTACTACTACTATTACTACTAGCACCAGTACTAGTACTAGTACTAGTACTAGTACCAGTACTAGTACTAGTACTAGTACTAGTGCTGGTGCTAGTGCTGGTGCTAGTGCTGGTGCTAGTGCCAGTACTACTACACTACTACTACTACTACCACTACTACTACTACTACTACTACTACTACCACTACCACCTACCACTACCACTACTACTACTACTACTACTACTACTACTACTCCTACTACTACTACTACTACTACTA